AATCATTTCAATGAACCCTAAAAAATTGCCATTTTTTTCATCATAAAGTCTGTCACTACTTCCACGAAAGGCAAGTGATTTTTTAGCAAGAGTCTTTACTAAAACTATTATCCTCTTAAGAACATCCCTCCAGTGCTGCTTCTCTTTTGCTAATTTTTCCTGAATAGCCGAATCAAGGGTTTTTTGTTTTGCCAATCTCATCTTTAGTTCCATCCATCTTTGCACATTAGTAAAATGTTTAACACTTTTTTCATGGGTAGAAAGCTTTTCGCTAAGATGTTTCCAATCATTAGTTCCTTCATTAGCTAAATGATTGGGACCTTCTTTTGTTTTAAACAACTTGCAACAAAAGCAAAAGACTTTATCCACTTTTTTGGAATACACTAGTCATTGTCTATCTTCGCTTTCTTTATTTTTCATGTTCCTAGTATAATAGGCATTTGAAAAATGTCTAAACTTGGCATCAAGAGGATAATTTAGTTGAGTTTCCCTTATAGGTCCTTTTTCAACTAAAATATCTTTCATTTTGGCATCAAGGTTCCCCCAATAAACCGGATCATATATATCAATCACTGAAAAATGACCCCTCACTGATTTATTTTCTTCACCTAAATCACATTTATCTGGCTCAGTTTCAACATTTGAGGCTTCTGTACCAATATCATTATTCCCAGGCGTGTTATTATTTTCATTCGCATAAGAATTTAACAGCGATTCAACTTGAGAAGAATTTTCAGGATTCAACTTCTTAACGAAAACATATTTTTCCATTGCCCACTTTTGACTTAAGGCTGCCTTATCTAATCTTTGCCTCTTTTTCTCTTTTTCCCAACCAGATTCACCCATTTTATCGAGCACCTTCACAATCGTAAAAAACAATAAAAGAATTCAAAATTGCACGATAGGGTCCATAGCCAATAGCACACAGATATCAATTTAACAAGACAATAAAAATGCATCATATAACAAAAACATTTTCTTATATACAAATTGCAATTGCAAGGATAAATCATAAATTATCAATCATAAATCAAAATAAATTCTAATAGATTGAGATTAATTTACTTACCACTGGTGACTGACAGATTGTTTGAAACCTTGAAAGTTGAAAGAAGGTGTTCTAGACTTGTAAATATGTAATTACCGGCCGACCTTTGGGCTCCTCGCCTCCTCCGTTCCTGGATTGATTGACAGACTTGAAAAATTGAAGGCTTGCGCCTTGCCGTAACAACCGAACGGCCAGTCGATTTGAAACCTTCTCAATCAGTTATCACTTAGGCAACCTTGAACAATTGAACCTTCGTTACTTGATTTCAAAATTGAAAACAAACAAAACAAAAAAACAATGAAGTGGCCGGCCAAGTGGGTTATTGCCTTATTGGGATTTGGGAGTTTAATGTTTGGGAATTGGGATGGGGTAGATGGGAGAATTTGAAGTGTTCGGTAATACGGAGTACGTAATAGGTACTTAGGTAGTTTAGGGATTTGGGTTATTGGGCCACTGGGGATTGGGAGGGACACATTACATTCTTTTTATAATTTTTTATAAAGTTTCTTTTATAATTTTAAAATTATGAACAAAATTAAATCATGGGCCTAATTAAATGAGTTTTAAAATACAAAAAAGATTATAAAAAAAAAGATTATTCAAAAAAAGAATACAAAAAAGAGTCCTACTCACGCTATATATAAAGAAAAAATTTTGGGCCTATTTTTTTTTGCTATTTTTTCGGGCCTAGGGCGGTCGCCCCTGTTGCCCCCCCCCCCCCCCCCCCCCCCCCCCTAGGACCGGCTCTGATAATCAACATGCTTCAAGAGCAACACCAAGAATGGAAGTTTAGCTCCTCATTTGGAGACTAAACATAGCTAGAAAAATATAAAGAAATGCTATTCTAGACTGAACTTAAGAGTATGGAAGAAGGAATGCTGAAAAGTGAAGGAAAATGGGGTTATTAATAGGTGTTTTCAACATCTAATGCCGGATACCCGGCCGGGTATTTGCCATACCCGACCGGGTATTTGTCAAATCAAATCTTTTTCCCATGTTCTTGTGATCTTGTGCATGTTCGTTTGCTCGAAATCACTTCATGCCCGACCGGGTATATGGAATACCCGACCGAGTATTTGCTAGTTTTGCAGCAATTTCCTTTGTCACTTCATACTCTGCCGGGTAAAGGCCATATCCGACCGGGTTTTGCACAAAACTCAGGTTTTTCCATCCTTCTTGCTTCCAAACCTATCATAAACTTATAGCCCAACTAATTACAACTAACAATAAACAATAAAATGCTAAAAATACGATTACAATCAAATGCAAACTAACAACTACAAACTTGCATAACACTAGCAAATAAACATTACAAACGATAATAAAAATGTACACTTAGGCACTAACAACTAGTGCCTATCAAAATCCTAATATGTTCATCAGTTTATTTGACACCCAAGGAAGCGTAGACAATGGTGCAGAAATCGTGAAATGAGCATGACACATAAACTATGAAACTGAAGGTTACTATCTCACTCCCCATCTACCTTCATCAACACACGTATGTTTGGTGGTTGGTGTGAAGCGCAAAGAACTTCCATGAAATCAGAATAATGGAACGGTTGTAGGATATGGTATGTGAGACCAAGAATACCGTCATCGATATACAGAGCTTCAGAGACGTGATCAATAATATCTCCTTACCTATTTTACCGGATTAATCAATGAGAAGCGGTTATATGGCAAGAAAATGGAGTTTTTCCCATGGAGGGGTGTGTTTCAAACTTATTTTCCAAACTAAGGTACTTTTAAACTTATTTCCCAAATAGGGGTATTTTTTGTCATGTCACCTCATTATCACTGCTGCGCACCACATCAGCTTATCCACATCATCCCATCAATTCCATGTCATCAATTAGAGTTTAGGCGTGCTTCTAAAATATAGGAAAAAATGAAGCCAACAAGATTTGAACCTGGGTGGAACACAAGAAAGGCATGTATGTGAACCACTACACTACATCATTCACTTGTTAACAAATGTCTTTTAAGAAGTATAAATCATGTATCATTCACCCCGTGAGTGCACTATTTCTTAATCGCATGTATTATTTGTTCCTTCAGAAATACTCCGTATATTTCTTCCTTTCCCAAACAATTAAAAATATAACAATAAAAAACTTATAAAATAAAATAAAATATAAGTAAATTTCATGCTAGTCCACTTTAAATTCTATAAAAGGTTTAATATTGATGTAAAATATCGTATAAAGTTTTCTTTATGAAAATTCTCTAACAACTCAATTGTGTTCAGCCTCGGCTCGACTCCGCCTCGGAACCAAGCATTTTTCGTTTATAAATTTATCAAGTTTTTTCTTTCTTAGATAAATATTACTCGTATATGATTTTCTTGACATGAATAGTATCTGATTTTAAATTGGGGTGTGTTAGAGCCTTTCAAAACATTTAGTAACAATAAATTTTAATTAAGTCTTTATTTTTAATCATCACAAACCTAGTATTTTGCATAATTTTTTAATTATTTTAAAAAGAAGCTATATATTTTTAAAGCAATGAGTAATACACAGCTAAATGTATACATTCTTGGACTTAAAGTATTTGTATCGCAAATTTCACTAAAAGTTAACATGTTACAATTTAGTTCAAATTTGAGCGTTGAATTTGAATTTGAAACAATAATAATCAATGAGAAAATTGAACCGAGTCGAGAAGAAACGAAATAATTACAACGAAAAGCTTAGTTTGCGATATTTAATTCTATAAAAATGTAATTTAAATTTATAAAAAAAATTGAAGTATATAATTTAAAATTTATTTGAAATAACTCAAAAGTAAATAAAATAAAAAATAAGTAAATTTCATGCAATAAGTAACTTAGAAATATGACTTATATTTTATTTGATTTTATTTCATTTGAAGCTAAGTTATTTTAAAAAAAATACATATTCCAAATTGTGTTTTGTCATTATAAGTTTAAATTAATTTTTTGTATTCTAAGTTAAATATTTCTTTATTTTTCAAATTAAATTAGCAAATTATGTTTTTATTATAAGTTTTAATAAGATTTTTAATTGAATAACTCAAATTCAGTTTTTTATTATTACATTTTTTATTGTTTGGTAAAGAGATATATTTCTAAAGGAGCGAATAATACATGCGATTAAGTAATAGTGCACTCCCGGGGTGAAGGATACATGATTTATACTTCTTAAAAGGCATTTGTTAACAAGTGAACGGTGTAGTGTAGTGGTTCACATACATGCCTTTCTTGTGTTCCACCCTGTTTCGAATTTTGTTGGCTTCATTTTTTTCTATATTTTAAAAGTACACTTAAACTCTCAAAATTGATGACATGGAATTGATGGGATGATGTGGAATGAGATGATGTGGATAAGCTGTATTGCAGATTTATTTGATGCGGATACAGAACGCCCAAAGCAATTTAAATTCAAAATGTTGATCTTTTGCTGCGTATGCTTGCTAACCGCAGCAAATATTGATAAGAAGGGACTGTATTGTTGCGGTCCTCCATTAACCGCTGCAAATACATTAAAATTTTCGAAGTATTTGTTGCGGTTCACTAACAACCGCAGCAATTAGGTATTTAAATTAATTTTAAAATACAAAATACTCCTTATTTGATGCGCATGCGCTAGAATCGCAGCAAATACATAGCAGCAAATGTGTGATTATTCTTAAATTACAGTTAGGTGAGACTATTGTAAGAATAACGTTAAAAGATGAGATTATTAATTTTCATTTTTCTTATTATATACTCCATATTTATTATAACACATGATATGGAGTCCAAGAGCGCCAGGGGAGTGTTGGGGGCTAATGCACTCAGTCTTGACTCAGGCCTCTATAGGTGAATTTTATGGGACACTTATCTATAGAGATTAAAATATTTACAAATTTCTATTCATAACTAGAATCAAAACACATATCATACATTCGAAATATCACAAATCTAAGAATAAAATGGTTTACTCGTCTTTTAGAAATGATCAGACCATCACCTTTTATTTATCATACTTCCAGTAATTTTCTCGATTCTTTCATCGTGGTCAATATACAATGTCATGATAAGGTCGAACTAAAAAACAACACTACTTAGATGAGTTTCTTGAACTGAATATATATAAATGAATAATAATAATCGAAATTAAAACATAAAAAAAGTAATGAAATGAATGATGATGATGATATTGGAAAGAATTATAAGATATTTTGAATACATATAACTAGTAAACTAGGAATACTCTAGCACCTTAATTGATTGTAACCAAACATAGTGCATGCCATATTTTAGGTATGCATGCATTTGGTCAATTCCGGTCAAACATACTGATCATTTGAACGAATCAAAAGGCTGAGGCGAGGCTGACTCATCCGTGCATGCATTTCTTCAACTGTATGCTGCTACGATTTTTTTCGTCTTCAATCGGCTATAGTAAAGGTATTGAAGAATGATCTGTGATCAAGGAAAAAGTCGTAGCCATGATAAAATTATAAAACAAAATAATAAGAACTGCTCCAAAAAAAATTAAAATATAAAGTTCACTAATAGATCTCCCACGTATTTGTTATTTCTATTGATGAAAAGAATAAAAGTCTATTTGGAATATCTATTGATAAAAAGTTAATAACCCCTATAATTTTTAATAGTGTATGGACACACACACACACATATGGTACTTTGGTGATTAATATATAAAGTGTGTAAAAAAAAAATCAATCGTACTTAATAATAAAATACTCCGTATGTATTAAGTTAGCATCAAACTTTATGAATTTTGGTATTATTATTACACATACATAGTTGATAAATTTATAGAAAAACAAAAAGGCTATACACTTAATTTGTGTAAATACTACGTATATTAATATTGTGTTCAATTGTGTAGTAATATTGATTTCGCGCGCTCAATTGTGTAATAATAAATAATATACTCCCTCCGTCCCATTGAACTTTGCCAACTTTTCATTTTTTGTTGTCCCAAAAAACTTTGTCATTTTCCTATTAAAGTAACTAATTTGTGGTTCTGCACATTTCTCTCTCATCTGCACAAATCTCAACCACACAGTTTTTACTATTCTTATTTCTCACCTACTTTGCACTTGGCAAAGTCCACCGGGACGGAGGTAATATAAGATTGGAGTTGTTTTTCTATCTGAAATAGCTGAAGTCACTGTAGAAGAACATTTTTGCTATTTTTGCAAATATTGTTTTCTTAATTTTCTCAATAATTTTTTTAGGGTTCAGTCAATTCAATCACTTCAATCATAGTTTCATCAATTTCAGTATATTCAGTTGATTCGGTCAATTTTCAGTGTTACTAAACGAGCTCAAATTTAATTTGTTCTTCTCACAAATTACAAAACATGAGACCAGAGATTGAAGTCCAAATATTAACGTTTTAATCAGCCAAAATCCGCATATAACCTTTTCCAATTTGGGTGCAAAATAAAATTTTCTTATTTACCTCCGTCTTACTAACATTAAGACATGAGGAGATGACACAGTTATTAAGAAAAGTAGGTTTATGTGATTGATATTAAATTGATAAAGTAAAAAAAAAGTAAGAAAGATTTGGAATGACACACATTTTACCAAATTTGGTATAAGACAATCTTAACGAGACGGAAGGAGTAATTATTACGTGATTAATTAATGGGGAATATATGAGCGCTTACAAAAAGATCCAAAAGGACACATGCCACTGCATCTACCAACCACGGCATGTTTGCGCTTACTTTCTCCCATTCAGTGCTTCTTACCATTATACTGCATCAACATGAATCATTCAAATTCACTTATTTAGTTTTCGACCGAAACATTCCACATAATTTGAATATTTATTATATAACTCTTCATCTTAATTATATAATTCGTATTAATAAATCGCAAGAGTATTACTTAAAATTGACCCACAAATAAATTCATACCATACCTTCCAAAATATGTGGCATTGGCTACAAGAACGAAGATAAACATCAAAGGATTCAGTCCCTACATCAGTTACAATAACCTTTATTTTTTTTACTTAATTAATATATACTTCAAATAAGAATTTCATGATATAAATTAAATATATTAGCCATTATTATGTCCATCATATCCCAAAATAAGACTTTCAGTTTGACTTAATTTAAAAAAAGACTTTCAGTTTGACTTCTAGTGAATTTGATGTATGTACATGTTTGGTCGATCCGTCGATCATTAACTCAATAGCTCATTTATGCTTATACATGTTAATGCTCAAGTACTATAGAGAATTCTCTAACTAAGAATAAAAAAATTGAAATTTCAAAATAGGAGTATCATGTTTTTTATTCCTTGAATAGGAGTAAATTTATGCTTTAAAACATGACATTTTTTTCCAAACTTGGCAGATTACTCTTATTCAGGTAATAGAAAACATGATACTCTTATTTTGGAATTTCAAAAACGTTTTTGCTCCTATTTAGAGCAATTTCTATAAGTATTAATGCTTATATTTATTAAAGTAACTCCATAGTTCACATTGTCAAAAACCTTAGAAAATTCAGTCTATTACTTTCATTTTGGAATGGATGGAACAACTAAGGTAAAAAATAGAGGCTAGTTGCTAGGGTAAATACGATATACGTACCTCAATACTGCCTCTTTTAATCTGGCCAAGCAAAAAAAAAAATATTAATCATAAGAAGATCATGAAAATTCAAAACAATAATGCCATAAATTAAAAATAGAATAATAATGCCAGTTGTTGAATGTTTTTTTTACTAATTAATTAATTAATTAATTAATTAATTTACTTTTCCGTGCACTCAATTTGATGGTTAGGAGGACAAAAAGTGAAAATTAAATGAAAAACTATATAGGGATTTGCTTTAAGTAATGTATATAATTACTAGCTATACTAAGTTTACATTTAGGTTATTAACAATATAATAGCACTACTTGTGACCCAATTGAAGATAAAGTAGAGTTCACAATATTAAATTATTATTATCTATTTGTTCCTTCATAATTATGTGTTAATTCTTTCCAATGTATCAATAATAACAATTAATTACATATTACTTGAAATTACTTTCAAATTATGCAATTTTCCTCCAAAACTAAGGATGGTCAGATTTAATGAAGTTTCAGTCCAAAACTATGATAAATTAATTGTTGATATATTGTCTATAAATTATACGGAGTAAATAAGTTTTAGTTTCATTTATAACTTTAAATTGATTTATTTCAGAGAATGAACTACATTATTATTCACCAAACTTTACAATGGCAAATTTCAATTTAGCCAAAACTTATTTCAATAATCATTATTTTAGGTATAAATGTGTAATTATTTTTTAATTTAAGCATTACCCTTCCAACTTTTAAGATGCTCTAAGTTATTAATCTACAGCCTAATAATGTAAGTTAGTTAACTGAAATGAGCTAAATTAAAATTATTTGATTGAATTGAAATTCAATACAAAATTAAATGATCATTCATATCTATATCCATGAACTCTTCAAAAAGAAAAATATATCCGTGAAGTTAATAAGTTATATATATATATATATATATATATATATAAATGTTGAGAGGAAGTATATAATAGTGATTGTGCATTAAAATACTTGCATTGAGCCAAATCTGAGGAATTCGCCCTCCCATATATATAGCAGCCATCAGCCATCCCAGCCATTGCCCAACTAGTACGTTGTTATCAATTTCATTATGTTCCTGTAGATTAATTATAACATGTTAACTTAGTCAGTTGCTGTAATTTAATAAGCACAATAATACATATAAGGAGACTGTAAAGAATATAATTGGAGAATAATAATATCATCTCAAATTTAGCTGCTATCAAATTATCCTATACTACATCCGTCCATAATTAATGGTGACACTTTAATGAGGTTTTTACTTAAATATTAATACTAATAAAAATGGCATGCATAAACAAAAATATTACTTAGTAACTATTAGTGATTACAATTTTGTTCAAAATTTACACTATATTAACTTAGATGTAATCACTACGATATAGTCACAAAAATATTACTAGGTAATATTTTTGTCCACCACAATTTAAAAAGTATAAATTAAAATACTTTAACTATCTTTTTACTTATATTGTAATAGTGAAAAGTTAAGTAAACTTGGGATGACAAATTGTACATTTAATTAAAAGGAAGGATAAAGTATATGGATAGTACGAAAGTATATACTATCCTCCGTTACGTTCCATAAAAGTTGCAACAGTTTGACTTTCAAGTTTGCCAACGCGCAACTTTGACTGTAATTATATTTATTTACGTATTAGTAAACATTAAAAAAAGTTAATATATTGGAAATTTACATTAATATAAATTTATTAATATTTTATACATAATATTTTTATTATATATATTATTAGAAAATCGTAGTCAAAGTAAGATGTTTGAATAGTGCAGAAATTCTAATGTTGCAACTTTTATGGAACGGAGGAAGTATGTAGGATCATTTGTCAAAAAAACATAGAGCTTGATTGGTAATTTATATTTGGCTTAATCTGATGAACATGTTGAAATTGGTGAAATACTAGCTGGCTGAAATAACAGAATAACTGAAGTGTCCTAATATGTGTTGAATTAAAAAAATGTACTAAAAACATATTTTATTAATAAAATAATGAAAAAATTAAATAAATAAATTAAAATAGTCTTATTGTGGATGTTTTTTTTTGGATTGAAATTTGTTAGTCTGGTGTTATCTAGCCTGATCTGGTGTTTTTAAATCTGGTCTGATTTAGTCTGGTATGATAAATGTCTAGTTATGTGTCTTTTATAATTGTTCAACTCTAATCAGTGTGGTCCCATGTGATTTGTTCTATTTAAGTCTATTCTACCTGATTTAATTTGGTCTTCGGGTTTGGGACCGAAATAGTCCAAAACATAACATCCTAAAGTTTAATTTAATGATATCTCGCGAGTCGCGACTTGTATTCTTTTATATATGCAACAATGGTTAACTAACCTGTAATAATAACCTCCTTCCGACAAATCTTGTCGACCTCCTCGCATGACCCATAAACAACAGAGCTGCATCGGCTCCGGCAGGATAATAAGCCGCCGTTGCTGCCGCTAAAAAAGTGCCGTACGCAGTCTACACATGCATGCGGAAACAATAAGGAGCAAGGACTAGCTACTAACGGAATGAAATATTCAAAACGTACGTTAAATGTATGTGTGCGTTTTGTAACTTTTTTCTTCATTCAATATAGCATGCGACTACATGTTAGTTTCATGCAACTCACCTGATAGAATATAATGTCTATATTATTATTCATGTATTATCCAATTATATTCTTTGTATAATTATCCTTTACGTAGCTTATTTGTATTAGGATATTATCCTTGTATATCAAACCTTATCACTTGTAACAATCTGGAGCTTCTCAAGCTCTAATACTACGTATATATATCTAGTTACATCAATATGATGAACTATGCTTTTTTGTCATTTATTATCTTTCATGGTATCAGACGCCTCAATCTTTTGATTGATCTCCGATCCATTTACGATGCCATCATCTACTACCTCTGCCTCACACCTCATACCCACCCAACATGATCTTTCCCAGCTCATATCTCTCAATGCTTCTTCCCAAATTCCAATCAAATTATCTAAAGATGGCAGCAACTATTCATCTTGGAAATCACAACTCACTAACCTATTATTTGGTTATGATCTCCTGGGATACATCGACGGCTCCACCCCCTTCCCGACTTCCTCCGATGCCAATCGCTCCTTGTGGTTACGTCAAGATCGACTAGTTTTACTGGCTATTCAGTCCACAGTGGCTGTCACTATTAGCCCTATCATCAATTCCTGCACCTCTTCTTCCTCGCCATGGACAAAGCTTGAGACCAGCTTTGCTAACAGCTCCACAACTCGAATGCTCTCTTTGCTCTCCTCTTTGATGACCACAAAAAAGGCTGGCAAATCCGTTGCTGATTATATGGCCACCATGCGCACTTTCATCGACGATCTCGCCACCATAGGTCACTCTCAAAGCACTGGTCAGATTGCTTCCTATATTCTCACTGGATTAGGCGGCGAATACAAAGACCTGGTTGGAGCACTCCGTGTCCAACCTACTCCTCCTTCGTTTGAGCAATTACGTGACTTTCTTATTGAAGCTGAAATTCTTGCCGGAGATCAGCCCACTAGCTTTGATGTCCCTATTACGGCGCAATACACTCAACGACGTGGTTCATCTGCTAAACCACGAGGTTGTGGTCGTGGTCGATCTCCGTATTCTGCATCCATACCTCATTCCCAGGGATTTGGTTCTCCCGCTGCTACTTGTCAATTGTGTGACAAACCAGGCCATACCGCTAAGACATGCTACAGTCGTTCCCCCCCTGCTGCTAATGTTGCCTCCAGTACTACTACTAGTTCTTCCCCTTCCAATTGGCTCCTGGATACTGGTGCTACTCACCATATCACTTCGGACCTCAACAACCTTCAAGTTCACTCTGACTACAGTGGCCCTGACTCAGTAATGCTTGGTAATGGTAAAAGTCTCTCTATATCTCATACAGGTTCCTCGGTTATTTCATCTCCCCACTCTCATTTTAAACTTAATAACATTTTGTGTGCTCCACATATTCATACTAATAATCTCATCTCCGTCAATCAGTTTTGTAAACAAAACCGTACCTCTATTGAATTCTCACCCGACTCTTTTATTGTGAAGGATCTACTCACGGGGGAATCCTTGGCCCGCGGCCGGAGTGAAAACAATCTCTATGTTTGGCCTCGTTCCACTCGTCTTCAAGTCAATCTCACAGTCTCTCAATTATGGCATTACCGCCTCGGTCATCCATCTGCTCAAGTCCATCGTCAATTATGTCCCCAAAATAAACCTGTTGACTCATGTGATTCATGTATTCAAGCAAAAATGCATAAATTACCTTTCTCTTCTTCCTCAATAAAATGTACCCGTCCATTTCAGTATTTATATACCGATGTATGGGGTCCATCCCCGGTTACCTCAATTAATAATGAACGATATTATGTTCTATTTATTGATTACTATTCCAAATACACTTGGTTATTTCCGCTCAAATATAAATCAGATGTTTATTCTGTCTTTGATAAATTTCGTGCTCTCATTGAAAATTATTTTAGCACAAAAATTCAAACTCTTTATAGTGATGGTGGCGGTGAATTTCAAGCTCTCACACCTCTACTCTCCAAATATGGAATTGAGCATCTCAAATCTCCCCCATATACACCTGAACATGTCGGTTCTGCTGAACGTAAACACCGTCATGTTACTGAAACAGCTCTTACCCTCTTATTTTATGCCGGGGTCCCACTCAAATTTTGGACCTATGCATTTCAACATGCATCATATCTCATAAATCGTCTCCCAACTCCACTCTTATCTCACCAAAGTCCATTTTCCAAATTATTCGGAGACACTCCTAATTATCGGACTCTTCGTATTTTTGGATGTCTTTGTTATCCTTGGCTCCGTCCATATAGTAATCATAAATTACAACCTCGTTCTCGTCCTTGTTTATATCTCGGTCAACTTTGCCGAGGAAATTCATCTCGGAGGGATTAAAATATTTTTTGGGGGACGAAAATTATTTTTTGATGAGACGAAAATTACTTTTCGTGTATATATACACTAAAAAAAGAAATTGTTGCGGGGGCGGTAGCCCCCGGGTCTCTCCTACGGTCCGTCCCTGATGCAACTTAGAACAAATAAGACAAGGTGGCAAAATTGCAATCTTTTAACAAATTGCTATGACCAATTGAGTAAGTTTACATTCATCGTTTAAAAGTGAGCAATATTTTACGTACGATTTAATTTATAAGAGCATCTCAATTCAAAACTTAATGAGCTTGTCAATAACTCAAAATTACATAATTATCAATTACATTCCATTGGAAAAATGAGTATTTACTATTTTCATAGCGTTAAATAATCGGCTTCTCAACTATAGACTATAGTAGGGGTGACCGATCGATGCAAGCCAAGTACTTCACACTTTGTATAACGTTTGTTTTTTAATATTTATACATATTTTTATATAGTTTCTATTAATAGATTAGGAAAGAGAGGTAATACCTAACTAGGAGTAAAAGGTAGCTAAAAATTACAAATAGCGCTACATTATATTAAATTCCCAAGAAACACTATCTCCAATCATTGAAAAAATTGCTAACATGCATTCATAATGTCATACCGATGACGGTTTCAATGAAAGTTTTGACATTATCAAAGAGTAATAATGTCATTTTCTTAACATTATCATAAAAAGTGACAATTTTTATTAAAAAAAAAGAGCATTTTTTTCACCGTTCGGAAGTGATGGTGCTGGGAGGTGGTAGAGGCGGTGAGAAATGCATGAATTTTTTTATTTAATATTCTTTATGGGGTTTTACTATGTTTTATTAATTTTCTAATTTTTTTCAATCTTTTTTTATTCTATAAATATTTTAATAATTTTTATAATTTTGTTGTGATTTTTATTTTTTTTACAATTTTATTGTGAGTTAAAACATTTATTATGGATTAATGTTTAATCCTATTTTTGAATGATTTAGGATTTAGTAGTAATTGTGAAATTAGGAAACTTGAATAAATAAATACGAAATATGTATAAAGAAATATTTTATAGTAATAAATAAATAGATTAGGAAAGTTGAAGATATGAAGGACGTAACCGATATACTCAGGAGTAGAAATTAACTAGAACTAGAATCCTAGCCATAATGAGACGGCCTGAACCTTCTATAAGTTGACCCATCCTGTTTCGGCTTCCCTTCCTTCACAGCTTATTTCTCAGCAATATCGTTCTCTCTCGATTTCTACCAATTTTTAGATCCGACCTTCGTAGTCAATCTCGATGATGTCTACCTCGAAGATGATAGTCCTGAAGAGTTCCGACGGCGAAACCTTCGAGGTCGAAGCTATGGTGGCTGAGCAGTCTCAGACGATCAAGCACATGATTGAGGACAATTGCGCCGATACCGTGATCCCCCTCCCGAACCTCACCGGCAACATTCTCGCTAAGGTCATCGAGTTCTGCAAACGCCATGTCAAGGCTGGGAAGTCAGAGGATAAGCCTAGCGAGGACGACCTCAAGTCCTTCGATGCTGAATTCGTCAAAGTTGACCAGGGAACCCTGTTCGATCTCATCTTGGCTGCCAATTACCTCAACATAAAGAGCTTGCTTGATCTCACCTGCCAAACTGTTGCTGACATGATCAAGAAGAAGACACCAGAGGAGGTCCGAAAAATATTTAACATCGAGAATGACTTCACACCGGAGGAAGAAGCGGAGATCAGAAGGGAGAATGCTTGGGCATTTGAGTGAATGAACTTCAAGTCGCCCTGTTTTCTTGTTGCTTTAATCGTGTACTTTTGCTGCCATATATCATACTACCTCTTTCCGTTAAATTTTTTTTGAACTTTCCATTTTTGGATTTCCACTAACTTTGACACTTTCTCATTTAAGTAAAGAATTTGTGGTTCTAATTAATTCTCTCTCCTCTGCCCAAACTCCAACTACATAGTTTTGACGTTATTTATCCTCGTGTCGGTCTAACTTGACAAAATTTTAAAGGACGAAGGGAATATCCCCTAGTAGATTCTAAAGATTGCAGAAATAGGACTTTTTTGGGAAGTCATAAGTCTTATTTTAGAAATTAGAAAGATTTTGTTTATGTTTAGTTTTATATAAAGAATTTTCTCGTATTTCCTATAAAGCATCTAAATAACATAACATACTTTGTTTATGTGCGGCCGAGTTCGTTCCTGTGGCTCTCTCTTCGGAGATTTGAACGTGAGAGCCGTCTAATAAATTTGGAAGCTTCGGTTGTATATATAAAATCAAGGCCTTAAATGAATATAAAAAAATTTGAAAAAAATATCAATCCAAATACTTATACTCAAAACAATTAATACTCATTAATAAAAAACTAAAGAATAAAAGGACCAACGAAAAATGATGAATCTATATTTTTCTTTCTTACTAAATGTATTTTACTGATTAGTGTTAATATATACGTAGCAATATTACTTCATATTATATAGTACTTAAAGAAATTTAAAATTTTGGGGCCTCAAAAATTCGGAGGCCCTGTTCTCGATAACCAATTGAACCCCTAAAAAACGGTCCTGAACGTTCTTTTTCGTGGAATGTTTTGTGCTTTTTGAGGACTAAGTCTATATCGCTGATTGGTGGGTTGTCGTGGGGTTCCTATATCGCTATGTCTATAGGAAGGCAAAACAAGGGTTTAGGGTTTCCGCAAGTCGGCAGCGGTTGTGTGCGCGTAGTCTATTGCTTCATCTTGTATGAATTCTCCTGCAAGAGTGGCACTAGGAAGCGAGAGAAAGATGATCAAATGGTTGAAGGCATGACGCTAGATGGGCCAAAAAACGGGGAGGAGGTGTGTGCTGACTGTGAGGCCCGCCAGGCTCTCTGAGGAAGACATACCCCCAAGAGTACATGGTCATGTTTCTAGTGATTATGAGGAGACAACTTTAATTAAATTATTTTGCTTTTCTTTTCACCTTAATTTTGAATTGGATGTTATTGTGGTTGTATTTTTGTTTCCTACTAGCAAAACTCTAGATTTTAGTTCGAATGATGAAAAGTCTAGCTCGCCCGTCGATGACTCAGATAATTAAGTCCATTATAAGATCAACGAGTCATATTGCTTTGTTGGAGGTAATTGACTATAAGTCTAATTTGAGGGCAGACGATCGGAGGGGGACTTTCAGCGTTTTTGTAACTTACCTGAATCCTGATTATCCTATATAAGTCAACTACTTCAAAAAAAAACAATCTAAGGCATTGAATTTACCTAAAATACATTTTAAACGACTATTAAAACCCCCTGTTATATATCCTAATATTGCATTTACGTTACTAAGAGCATCCACAATGCATGGTAGTCTAGTCTAAATAAAATATGACAAATGTCAAATAAATGTAAGACTTTCTAGCTAATACACATAATACAAAGTGAAGAGATTAGACTTTGAACGATGAAAGAAGGATCCAATGCTTACTGTTAGGGCGGAAGTTAGATACTCTGTTAGATTAGCTGGTATGGACTGATACGTCGTGGCTCAATCTCTTCACTCGATTTAGAGCTCTAAATAGTAGGGGATGGGCCATAAATGAGTAAGGGCCAAACAGATCGAGTTAGACTCTTCGACTCAAACGGGGTATGGTGCTGGTCAATTCCATTTTGGGGCAACTAAGTGTACTTGTTTAAACATTATTTTTGAGAGGTTAATTATAGCGCGCAAATGTTTAATGTACGATAGTATATATATACATATTTTTGGGTAGTCGATTATATGAACATGGAAATTTTTATTGAGATGTTTTTATTTAGATTGCTTTTAGTCCCAGATCAAATCACACCAAATTATATGTATCACACTTAGCTTAAACAGACCAGACACGACCATATCGGATCAGATCATGCAAAATCAAACTTCAGCAATTACAAAATGCACATAGATCATATTTAATTAGACCTTATCAGAAAATTCTAATCTAATTAAACACATCGTGATCCAATTTAGATAGAAGTGAAGTACATGTAATACGAGACCAATTTAGACTAGATGTCTAGATCCAATCAATATTAAGGATAGTAATTTTTTTGTTTAATCTGATGTGATCGAGTGTAGTATGGAATTTATCTAGATGTTTTTTCTCTGTGTATTTTATAACTATAAAATCTGATTGATCTAGTCTGAAACTAATCCAATAAAAAACATGATAAAATTAAAACACCTTTGATATTGAACTTAAACAAATGAAACTAGATCATCAGACCTACCATACCTAGAAATAGTCTAGGTGTTAACATTCCAAAGTGAAAATGTATCCAACAATCTCCAAAAAAGTAATGAAATGAAATGATTAAATGGGCAGTGGTAAGTAAACAAAAAAAAGATGAATTTACGTACAGGGCGAGGGATTGATCTTGGGCGAGTAATGGGAGTTTTGTTTGAGGGTGAAGATAAAGGAGCTGTTTCGTCTTCAGAAGAATCGGAGTTGTAGTGCTGGAGAGCTGGCGGGCCACTTCTTGGTACCACGTTTATGTATGAGCCCCTGGGTGGAGTTGCACTGCTTGCCAAAGTTCTTGCTGACCTGAAAACTCGTAAATATAGTGCTTTCAATTATTTATAGGCTTACCGCCTCGATCACTACACAACAGTGCAACCTCCGATTCACAAAAAAAAAGAGTATCATTTTGCTTAAAAACTGTTATTTTTGTTTAAAGAAACGCATGAATATGACTTTTTTATTCTTTGAAAATGTCAAAATTTTCTCTAAAATTGTCATCCACATGGAATTTTTGACACATGTTGGTTTTTTTTCGTTAATCGGAGCTGGTGATGCTGGTAGGTTGTTGAGGTGCGTGGCAACATAGGCCAACATATTTCCTTATATTTTTTGGGTTTTTTATTTTTATTTTATTTTAGTTTTTAGTTTTTTATTTTATGACTTTTATTTTTTTATATTTATTTTGTTTAATATTTATTTCATGTTTTTTTATTATAAATAAAGTTACACTATTACTTTTTTGATTTAATTAGTAATGAAATATTAAATGTGCTGAAACAAAGCAGGGTAGAATTGGAAAGCTAGTTCTATTTAGAATTTTTTAAAAATATGGTCTTATTTTGGCAATATTGTCAGTAATGATGTACTCCCTCCGTTCCTGAAAATACTTCAAACTTTCCCTTTTCGTCCGTCCCAAAAAGAACTTTCATTTCCCTTTTTGGTAAAGAATTTGTGGTTCACACCAATTCTTACACATTTCTCTCTTCTCTGCACAACTCTCCACCACACAAAACTCACTTTCTTAATCTGTGTGCCATTTGTACTACGGAAGTAAATTATGGGAAGGAGGGAGTAACATTTTTCTATTTCCTACGTCCGAAATACATTTTTTACTTCCTTCTTTGGATTCATATATTGCATGCCTCAAAATAAACGTCATTTTCTTTCAAAGCACAATTAATCATAGATGTAATTTGTTATATTCAAAACAAATTGAGTGATATGGTATTGTGGGGGTCGGGATTTGAAATTTTAGTAGGAATGACTGAAAATTCATATTTAACCATATTCTACTGTTTAGAAAATACTCGTACTAGGTATGTGCAAGGTATGTGCATATACATACCATGCATAATTGCATATATACTACTTTTGATTGTATTTTATTTATTAATGTATTGATAAATTGATTTTAGGAAATATTATCAAATTTGTCATCATAAATTTTAAAATGTGATCTTTTTAATTTTTTACTAATCAAAAATTAAATATACGTACTAATGATCAAAGCTAAGTCATGCATTGATGAACACGAAAGTAGATTGTGATACACTTCACTTATTTAAGGATGAAGTTGGTATTTAATACTCCCTCCGTCCTGAAATTATCTTCATTCTTTCTTTTTCGATCTGTACCAAATTTATCTCCTCTTTTCTTTTTTGATAAAGAATATGTGATTCACAATCATTCTTACACATTTCTCTCTCCTCTGCATAACTCTCCACCACACAAATCTCACTATCTTAATCCTCGTGCCCAGTCAAAATCGAAGTTAATTATGGGACGGAGGGAGTAGATGAAGTGTACGAATGTATGTGTAATAATAATTCACATATACTGTTTGTCCTTACAAAAAAAATTGTTGGAAACTCATTCGCATTGAATATTTGTACACCACAACCAACGCTTTTATCATACGTAGTACTTGATTGCTCATGGCAAAAATGGTCAAACTTTTAGTTCTAATGAACATGTTATTACTTACAAAAAAAGCCTTTTGTACAAACTCTTATACACATTTTTATACATACTTATGTTTGTAAAAGACTTTTTTTTGTTTGTGAACATCGACTCACAAATAATGTTTTGCACAAACAAAATATTGTTTGTGAACTGGATTCACAGACAAAAAAAAAAGCTTCACAAACATGGTGTGTATAAGGTGTGTATAAGGATGTGTACATCAAGAGTTTTGACTTACTTACTTACTCCGTATTAGTGTATCATTGCGTAATGGATGTTTTACTACATATGCTCTGTATATATTTCATACATAGTACATTTGTTTCGGTAGACTTTGTCAAGTGCAAAGTAAGTGAGAAATAAGAATAGTAAAAATTGTGTGATTGAGATTTGTGCAGATGAGAGTGAAATGTGCAGAATCACAAATTAATTGATTTAATAGGAAAATGACAAAATTTTTTGGCCAATAAAAAGGGAAAATTTACAAAGTCTAATGGAACAGAAAAAGTATATTTTACTATTATCGTATTTACTATCTCTCATGTCACGTATGCACCGTTCATAGATATAATTAAGGAGAAAGTATATGATGAAAAAGGAAACACATTTGATATGAAAATCTTTACGTACATGAAATAATAATGCCTCTCCGAGGGTATAATAGGACCATTTGACCCTGCCCCACCAATCGATTCATGATGTCGTGACTTCACAAACTCTACTTTTCCGTGCATATTAACCTGAAAGAATGTGATAAATCTAAGTTACGGCAAATTCAACCCAATATTGAATTGCGTCTTTCCTTGGATATAAATAAAATACGGAGTAAGATATGTTAATTAGTTAATATGATGACTATAGAATACAATAACGTTCATTAAAATATAAAATTTAACTCAATAATGGTTATGAAACTTACTGGTATATTTCTCACTATTCCATAACCGTTGGAAATTAAAGATCGTTTTAAGCGTTTTATATCTCGTTGGAAAGATCAGCGTGAATCGTAAGGAGTAAATAATGTGTAACGCACCCGGAGATCGGCTAATTTCTTGTTGTCACCGCGTTTCCACCACCGGAGGAAATGTTCATAGTATATACACTGCACCACCAGTGCTATTGTTGTTACTGTGTACAACTGCATGCGCCCAAATTCTTCACTTCAATAAATACATTGAAAATGCACTAAATTGCTCATTTCAAATTACTCTCTTTGTCCTAAATTGTTTTGTAAATTAAAATCAACATTTTTTTGTCAACTAATAATAAAAGTCAATGCTTTCTATCGATAATTAATTCAATTTTCAATAATATTACAATTTACATATTCAGAAACTACATTAAAATCTTTTCAATGTTGCAAACTTCAAATTAGAATATAATTAAAAATTAACATCCTAATTAAACGAATAAAATGAAATTGTTTGACGAACAACGGTAAAATTTGCAAATGAATTTAGGACGGTAAATATTAAGAATGGAATGTCAATTTTTTAATAATATCAGTGCTAATGAATTAGCTTTGAAAATAAAAAGGATTCGCTACTTACCAGTGCAGTAAAAAACTGAGTGGGAAGCTGCATCGTCATGCGCGCACCCGTGTTGCCGCATCCCAGACAAGCAAATAAACAAAAATGTCACAAATATATACAGTACAATCTTGTCGATCCTATTTGCTAAAAATCTTTATTTTGTAATTGACATCAATATAATAATTAAAGTCATTGTCAAAAATAAATTAACATTGATAAAAAAATTTAAAATCAATTTGCCCAAATTTGAAGAGACTACGGGAGTATAATTTTATATATGAAAAGCTTCATTTATACTATTACATCCTCTTAATTTGAAGATTAATATATTACTCCATACTTATTTATAGATTAGTTCATAAGATTAGATCCAACTTTTCAAAGTATCAAAATATCCTCAGATCAAGTGCCATTTAGTTCATATACCACGAATTATATATCCTCTGTTTACAAATAAACTATACCAGATTATTTTTTTGCCATTAGCTATACTTTGAGGCCCCACCGTAGGTGGGGAGCCTTTGCGGCACTGGGGTAAATGAAAATGATGATGGAGTTATACTTTGAGGATTCAATTTAGTCAGCTTATTAACGTGCTCAATATGGAGCGATGAACTAAGAGCTCATTTGGTAACACTGAAATCGGATTATTCTGCTGGAATGTATGAAGTTCTGGCTAAAGTGATTGTATTGCTTGATTCTGCTGATTTATGAATGAATTATGTTTAAAATGTATTTTAATATAGTTAAAATGAGAGAAAAATATGAAAAATAGTTAAAATGATCATCTACATTAATGTCAGCCAATATAGCAAAAAAAGTAACTTCAACCTTACATTTTTTATTATTACACAATTCTGCACACAAAATCAAAAACTACGTGTTTGACTAAAAAGTTGGCTGATAAACCCGATAAGCCGAAAAACAGAGTCACCAAACGATCTTTAAATAATGGGATTCTCTCATTTAAAAATGAATACTTTTTATTATTCATGATGCCAATGTGCTCTTTATATATTTCAATTTCTATGATGATCAAGGGATCGGAATCTCAATCATGTGCTCTATAGTAAGCACACTACCACGATCACTATGAATTTGGTAAATGGTAAATTGACTTTGTTTTAATGCTTAATTATTGTAACTAATCATAAATATAAAAGTAAAGATGATATATATTAATCGTGGATAATTTTTGTAAACTGATTGTTAAATATACCAATGGCTCACATATTGTATTGTCCCTTGTGTGAGTTAAACTGTTCCAACTAATTAAGTATATGACATTAAGAAATCTTAATTAATTACTTAAAAACGTACCGTAGCAGGGTCAAGAATGCACCCAAACAGATTGAAAATATCTCTGCAAAATAAAAACGGAATCGAAATGTATGGCTAATTAACACTGAATCCGCAGCCAGCTTATTAAAATAAATGAAAAAATAAACAAATTAAATAACCAAATAAAATGGAGAAATTGATGGGCTGGTCTAGCAGGATTTTGTCAGAGATTTTGTCAGAGATTTGGCAGGATTTTGTCAGGGATATGCCAAATCCGTGCCAAAAACACTTTGATAAGAGCTATTTGGCACGAAAAATTGTTAAATACGTGTCAAAATCCATGTCAATCCCGTATTTTTTTTGTAGTGGCTGGGCGTACCCGACGATCCAAGTGAAGAGAAAAGAGAGGGAGAGGCCAGAGGCAGATTTGTTGGTGAAGTTGGTGAGGAGCTGTGGGATTTCAGCTAAGCCCCAACAGATTAGACTGATGAGTCCCAAACCAAATGATATTTCATCACTGAGGTTGCAGAGGCAATCCTTGAAGTATTTCTCAACCCAGTACACACTGCAACCTCTGCTTTCCATTTCGCAGTAGTAGTGATTCGAAACCTGCTCCAAAGAATCTCCCATTTCTTTAATGAATCTTTGGATTTATATATATTCAGCTTATTTATTGACCAGCTTCGTCTGTTCTAACATGAAGATAGAATAAGGGTAGAAAGGTACGACCTTTTAGTTCGGGATGGATGGATGGATCATGAGTATATATATATATATATATATATATATATATATATATATATATATATATATATATATATATATATATATATATATATATATATATATATATATATATATATATATATATATATATATATATATATATTAAAAGATGGATGGCCAGCATTGTATAGATTTACGGTAAAGTGATTAATTATATCTAAGCCTAATAAGTGTATTTAGTTAGTTCTTAAAATGTGCAACTTGGGCAAATCAGTCAGCTGACCGGTTGGAACACATCAATTTGTAAATATACATTGTATGTCTAAGAGTTTTTTACAAGAATATTACTAAAATAAAACGTATTTACATAAATATGACTATTCATTACTACAATGTGGTGTTGTAACTTAAGATCAAAATTTGAACATGAATTACTATGATTTCATTACTACTCTAGTCATTAGTCATATTTTTGTAAATCATCTTTATCTTGGTCATATTTATGTAATTATTTCTATGTCTAATATATATGTTCATTATATTAGTGTGTAATTTGTAAATACTACATCCGTCCCAAAAAATTTTGTCATTTTCAAAACTTTGACCGACTATATCTTTTTATTGAAAATTATTTATAATAGAAAAATTAAATAAAAATGTTCTTTGTTAAAAGTACTTTGATAAAAGTATAAAATTTATAATTTCCATAATATTATACTAATCAAAATCAATATTAAATATTTTAAAAATGACAAAGTTTTTTGGGATAAAAGTAGTCTATTAGAACTATTTGTTTGATATTGACATTTCGACAAATGTTATTCAAGTTTTCTATTGCAAAAACCTTTGGGCAAGTAAAAGAGGCACTTCGGCCCACATTGATGTGGCGGGTTTAAGGGAAGAGTACTATCAATGCGTGAGATGTCAAGTGTTACGTGTTGGCAAAAATATTGTCATGTAAATAAGGCTAATAAAATTTGTAAACCAAGGTCCCCAAACATACTCTTAAATTCTTAATGTTAATTTACAAGTGCATGTAAGGCATTAACATTTTTTATTGTAAAAATAACCTGAATTGCACCTAACTTATGTTAGCCCATATTTACTTTAGATACTAAACTCAATATGTTTTGTAAAAGTAAAAATGATGAAAAAATATATTGATTGGGAAATATCAAATTTTAAAACAATGTAACGTATAGAGAATTTGAAGAAAAAAGATACGTAGTAATAGTTTTGAATTTATAATCTACAACCTATGTAATAAAATAAAATTTATATTTTATTTTAAATATTTCCATAAATATGCATCTTTTTTTTTAATAGTAACATTACATTTTTCAATATAAAGAAATCTTCTTAAAATTTTAACATATCAATTTTAATTTGGTAATGTTTTAAAAAGCGTGTTGGAATATTCCAAAAATTGTTCTATTCCCTATCAGTAGTATTAGGCTTATATTGATGTGTACAATTTCAACTAAAGCCACATATTTATTTACCTACTATTTACCACCATTATTCAAAGACTAATAACTACTACGTAATAAAGAGAACTAATACTCCCATACTTAATTTTTTCATTATTCTAGTCCTAAATGAGGCAACTTCCGTGACAAATGCCCGGGAGAAAAAAAGTTTTCGCCGGAGTAAAAAACTGATCGCCGGAGTAAATTTGTCACGGACCAAAAGCCGTGACAATACTTTGTCACGGATTTTGTCACGGACCTATCCGTGACAACACATTTTCGTGACAAATCCCAATATTCCGTGACAAAGCCCGTGACAACTTTGTCACGGCCGTAATCCGTGACAAAAATCCGTGACAAAGAGCGAGTTTTTTTGTAGTGTATATACTACGTAATTATTACGAAAGAAGATAACTTTATTAATTAATAGTCATAAAATATTTAAGCATGAGTGCATGACACATAGTTTATGACGGTCATTGAACACCTTTTCAACAGAAAAAATATAGACAAATGGTTCAAAATAAGTGTAGATTGTACATAAAATTCAAAACTATGGAAAAATAATTATATCGTGATTCAAAACATGATTTATATACTTAGAGATAATAAAATGTTTTCACTTGGACTTACTTTCGATCCCAAATCAGATCATAACAGATCAGGTCAAACTTAAACAAATCAGACCAGACTTCAATAGTTATAAAATACACATAAATCAAACATTTATCAGACCAAAAATTTCAATGCTATTAAAAACATCCTTATTTCAGTCTCAGACCAGACCTGACCTGACTAGAGTTAAACAGACCCAATCAGAAAAGACTTCGGCATTTATAAAATACACACTAACCAGACTTTTATAAAACCGGACTAGCTCAAACCAGAATAAAATAGACCAGACCAGATCAGAAAATTTCAGTTCAATTAAAAACAACTCAAATATAACCATTTTAGAAGTGAAGAAAGCCATATTTTGTGTCTCCTGAGCACACTTAGATTTTTTGTGTTTATACCATGGAGGCATAGATTATATTTTACTCATTTATTTTAATTTTTGTGTCTTTCTAAGTCCCTAGCTCCCTTAAGTAGCATCTTCCTATTTGGAACCAAATTATACAAACGCACGGATAGGAATATGGGATATTCTCAGCACACTTAGAATTTTTGTATTGTAATTTATTTTTTTCTTACATGATATGCCACACATAAAACTTAAAAAGGCCAGGGAATTTAAGTAGCTCGATAGCATATTCTATATCATATGCTTTCCATGCAACTATATGCGCAATTCTGCTCATTAATTGCAGTACCTAAATAATGTCCTCGTTACAAAATTATGACATTATTGGGGATGTGATTTATCAAAACACACTATATATAATACGGAGTAATAAAATAATGTGCAGATCTTTGTAATATGAAGCGGGTCGTTTATTGATACTGTGGAAATATTACAACATTTCATTGAAGTTATCTACTATTATACGTATATTTGTCTCACACTGGAAAGTTATAAAAACAATAAAACACTATATAAGGTTTTAGACTACTCCTTCTATCAGAGCCAAGTCCAATTGTGGTTTGAGGTTTGACTGCTTGTTTAGCACCCATGATTAATGGTAGTTTGTTAAGGGCATGTTTGGCCCATTTATATACCTCGATATTGTCCAGTCTGGTTCATACTGAGAAGGCATGTTGAAGTATTTGTCTTACACTGAAAAGCTATAAAACAATAAAACACTATATAAAGGCTCTGAGTTACTCCACCTATCAGGTTGACCTTTTAGGATGAAACCTCGAGTTTTAACATATTCTGGTGCACATTTGATGACTATGTATATATATTTTTTAAATATTCTACTACCTCCGTCCCACTAAGATTGAGACAAGAGAAGGTGACACGATTATTAAGAAAAGTGAGTTTGCGTGGTTGATATTAAATTGATAAAGTAAGAATAAAGTATAAAGATTTAGAGCCACGCAAACTTTACCAAATTTGGTATGGGCCAATCTTATTGGGATTTCTCGAAAAGGTAAAATGAGACAATGTTAGCGGGACGAAGGGAGTAGTTGACATTTGTTATTATATTTTCATTTTATAATCTTCATAATTCTAATGTCACTACATTTTTTACTTAAATTTGACTTCTTTCATCCATTTTCGATATCAACGGCCAAAAATATATTTTTTTTCATAAAAACCAAATTTTATTTGTATCAAATTATATATACATATACATACAAAAATACATATACACTACTAATTTATATATATAATAGGGGGGCATAGCTCACCTGAGGCTGAGAGGAAGGGGCGGCGCACAAGGGAGTAGGGGTGGGCAAAAGACCTGGTCTCGTTGGTCCGTTCCAGAATGTTCTGATTCCGTTCCGAAATTGTCCCGTTATATATGAGACACATTAGTTTTTGTCTTGTACCGGTCCCGAACCATTTCAAAACAAAACGGATCCGGGACAAGTAAAATATATACCGTCCCGTCCCGTTGTCCCGAATCCAAAATTGTACTTTGTAGTAGGTTAGTGTGGTCTACCAACAACTCATTATGTAATCCAAATAATAATAAATATCCTTTTTTCTCAAACCCAAATACCAATGATTATTAATATACTAGTATGTTGTTTAACAACACAACACCTAAAAAATTCTAAACTACCTAGTATGAACTATGAGTTATCATCTATCTGCAAAAAAAGGAAATTGATTTTTACTCCCAAAGGCTTCACGTCTTATAGTATTCTTTTATCATTTTTTACAGATTTATTGATAGTTTTTTGTGTTAGAGTTTTTTCCCTGCAACTTTTGTTTCTTGCGGCTAATTTGGTAGGTTGCATTTTTTCATCACAAATTTCTACATTTGCTGCAATTTTTTTTGTCATAGAGTTTTTTTGCGTTAGTTTTTTTTTTCAAACAGCTTTGCTTCATTTTTGGGATTGGATTTTTTCACTACAATTTTTTGGGATGTCCCGAACCATCCCGTTTTGTCCCGGTATCGGTTTAAATAGGACAACAAAAGGACAACGTCTTGTCTCGTCTCGTTCCGAACCGTTATTATAAACCGGGTTCGGTACCGGGACAACCCAATTCCCGTTCCGTCCCTGACCGTGCCCACCCCTACAAGGGAGAGTTTATGAGTTCAACTCCAAGTAATGATTTGAGATAAAACTTTATTCTCTTTCTATCAGAGTGAAATCAAAGATCAATTTACATCATCGCATTATATATATATATATATATATATATATATATATATATATATATATATATATATATATATATATATATATAGAGAGAGAGAGAGAGAGAGAGAGAGAGAGAGAGGAATATTCATGTGCGTCCAGCCGCATCAGAGGGGCCGTCCGGCCGACGGTTTTTGGCCGCCTTCCCGATTGAATTTTTTGATGAAATTGTTATGACATGTTCTTCATCAAGTCTAGTTTATTCACAAAAAAAATCAGCTCAAAATTCGATCTGGAAGGCCTTTAAGTGATTTTTTGAAGTTGACTGCGTT